TTTTTTTTATTATTCAATATTTATTAGAACTTTATATAGAACAGCATTGAATATTAAAAATTTATATAAATCGAATCCGTTTTATAAAATTATATAAAATCTATTTACATGAAGCAATTAATTCATATTACACATGATTTTACTAATTTATGAAAAATATTGTAACACGTTATTACAGAAAAGTATATTGGCGGTATATTAAAACTGATGAAATTCTATTTTAAAGAATCTAATATGAAAAGTACATTATTATATAGGACTGAGTCTTAGAAGAATGTAAATCTAATAAAAAGTTATCTTATATCACTAAAAGTATACAAATTATACATAATGACATTTGGCTAATCGAGATCTATTTAATATGTAAATAAATAGCAAAATTAATCAAGCCCGATAGAATGTATCAACGACTATTACAATTTATTTCTTATTTGAATAATTTGAATTATTTTACAGTTTTTATTATTAAAATGTCTTTATTACGTTTCACAAGAATAATGATATTAATTTTGCATAATTTAAATAGAATTAAAACTTAAATAACGTAAATGTTCTTCACGGTATTTCAGCGGTGAATTTTCATAAATACTATTTTACCATTAAAATAGAAACGATAAATTATTTATAACATTATCGTTTTGTTGATACACAGATAATAAGTGTGTGCGCGCGCGCGCGCGTGCCTGTGTCGATTGGCATACATGCTCGTTAATTTGGAAGTAAAATTAATTTTGTGAACATTAAAATTAAGAGAAAAAAATTTACGCTCACTTTATTATCTCGGATTAATTCTAGACAAAATTTATTGATTTTTATTATAAAATTTACATACACCTTGACAATAAGCGAGGAAATTGTTTTGCTAATATTTACGTTTCATTTTATAAATTAATTAATTTATGAATAAATATGAAATATCTAAATTGAGATTTGAATTCTCGTAAAGATTTGCAAGATCTCGCATATAACATTGAATCTTGATAAATTCATACGTACAACTTAATAAGAAATGCGCAAATTAATAATCAAGAAGAAGAAATCAAGAAATCCTGCTGTTATATTATTTTTATATTTACATCAAATTCACTGTAAATAAAGTATATTAAATATTATTGCGCACCAATGCATAATTCATAATTTCTACGCACGTAGACATAGATCAAACATGAAAACTTTTGAGTATCCAATATAACTGCATTCGCGAATATTTACGCGATACGATTGATTTTTAGATAAAGAGCCAATAGCTACCGTTCTAAAACAGAAAAACTGTACGTGTTTACGGTAACGCTAATTAACGCGAACAAAGTTGGCCATAGAAATTATGAGTATTATGCATGAGCTGGCGCTATAGCAGGGAACGATAAAAAAATATCGAAGGCCATTACTCAATTTTAAGTTTTGAGTTATTCCTCGTTGAAGGGATAGAGGGGCGCGGTTTAAAAATTCCCGAACGCGACAAAAATTTCTCTTCTTCTACTTCTTTTATTTTCAACGGAGGTCGAAGGGATTTGCAAGAGACGCTGCTCTTATTACGAGTACGAGTAACGCGAGTTGTATGTATGTAACCTAATTCGAGTGAATAAATGAAAGATGGGAATAATATTTCATATAATTTTGTTTTATAAATCAGCGATAGCTAATAATAAATTTGTTGGGCTCGTCTTATTATCTCAAATTTTATCTGCAAAATTGAAAAATTAGCGGATTCGTTTAATGAACTTTTCTCAAGTTTCTTAACGATTGAAACATTTTTACATAAAATTTTGATATTGTTGCCGTTTAGTAAAGCGTTAAATCGTATACAAGACAATAATTAATTGTAAATGTATATTATCATAGAATATTACAAAGCCATATATGCATTATTTATTTCGAGCATTCGAACTGTCGATTGAAGACAATCATTAGTTATCTATTACATAACGAAATAAGAAATGCTAAGTAAATATTTTTTAATCCATTCGTAGAATAGGAATAGTAATAGATTTGTGTATATGTAATTTTACAATATTTACCTGCACATTTCACGTTCGTTAAACAACTATTTGACATTCAATTTTATTACAATTTTCATTTATCATAACTCGATTACGATTATTATTCATATAAATATAAAAAACAAACGAAAAAACAAAAACAAAAAAAAAAAAAAAACCAACAATTAGTCGTTAATATAAATATTTTGCTGGGATAAAGTAATATGTCATTACAATGTGTAATATCTTTATATAGGCGTTGAAAATTATTTATGCAATTTATTATTCTTAATATTAAAAAGATTTTTAAAAGCATTTGAGTGGGAAATGTATTTACTTTGAATATGCAGTAAATATTTCATTTATACATTCATCTATTCAAATAGTTCAGAGTCAAAAATTGAATCATATTTTGATTTATTCAAATAGTATTGAAAAGAGCTATTGCTACATCACTTCCATTTGCCATATTATTCGCCGATTTATAATTAAATAATTAATATTAAAGGGAAAAAAGTATAAGCAGTTATAAAGAAATGGTTCATTGACAAGGGGAATTTAATTATATTAAAAGCACAGATGCAGATGGATTTTTAATTAAGACAATCTAAGTAGGAAGAAGGCCAAACATGACCTACATCTACAGTCAAAAGTATCATACTCCGTTGACCCATTATGATCATAAATTTATTATCGATTAATAATATCATTTTCCATTTTATTTTCAATATTTCATGATCAGATATTAAGCACCAGGCAATAATGTTATAATAACTAAATGGTTAAAAGTAATTTTTTACTTAATTATTGTACATAATCATTTCTCAAACAATTATCCTGGACATTTTTATTTACTAATTTTATGAAGGTGTGAAATTACATTCACAGACTTTATTCTGTGAAAGGCATTATATTCTGAGAAATTATATATTTACTTATTATGGATAAACTATGATAAACTTAAATCGTGAAAAATGATATTGATTTTTATAAACTCTTTATTGTAAAAACGAACATAAAATATTTTGTTTAAAATTGAGGCGAATAATAAATCCACCAAATACGAAATATAAGTAAAGTTTTATTATTCAAAATTCCATTGACATACTTTTTCATCATATATAATAATAAAAGAAAATTTCCATGTAATTCTCGAAATTTTCATAAAACAATATCTTAAATAGTAGAAAATTATTGTATATACTTTGGAATTGAAACCCCAATCTCTGACTTAAGAATAAAGGCGTTGAATTTCCAAAGTGAATAACACATTTCAATCTCAAGCTTACACATACAGACTACGATGTTTCTCTATATCTTACAGGCAACACTGGTATATACAATATTCTCTCTCTCTCTCTCTCTCTCTCTCTCTGTCAATCTTATCCGTATTGAAAATTGCCTCTCTTTCTTTTTGATTTAAGGTGAGAAAATCGCGTGGACCTCGAAAATTCACCAGGGCGAAAAATTCCATTCATTTTTCTATGAAACCGCGACATCCGCATTCAATTTCACACTAATTCCATACATATACATATATAGAAATTGCCTACATTCTTTTCTTCAACGTTATACACAAGTTTGATTCACACACGAAACTGCTTTATATGAAAAATTCAAACGTTGCATAATATTAGACTTCTCCGATAATTTAATCAATACCGTTCTCTTCCAAATAAGAATTTGGTTTCGATAATTAATGCTCATTATGTTTTATTTAACTAAATTACAAATTGCGAATACACTACGTGAATGCACTGCGAAATTAATAAATATTTCATATGTACTAGTTACAAATATAATATAAATTCAACTGCTTAAAGATATTAATTCGGATTGATCAGTAGTGTATATTTGTTAAATAACTTAATAATAAAATATCTGTTCTCCGTGCGTGTGCGCGCGCGCGCGTTTATGCGTGCCTGTGTATGTGTGTACATATAAAGAATCTTAACCCTTGTTGAAAGTTTCATTTTAAAAGAATTACGAGAATTTTATTAGCATATAGTGACATATGCAGACGGTAAATAAAAAAGTATTCGACATAATTTATTAAGTAAGAAATAGTCTATTTTATTTAGAAGTCGCATTAATGTATATTGACTTATACAGTTTATGTAGTGAAATCATTTTTTCAAATTAAAACTCGATTTACGAAAGTTAAAGTAAATTTGAAGTTGTATCACAAAATTACCCATAATGAATAATAAGACAGGATTAAAAAATGTATTATTAAATTACCTATAATAAGCAATTAAAAGTGTAAGATAAACTAGAAAAATAATAAGTATTCATTAATAGAATTAATTATCTATAAACAATGACGACAGTTAATAAATAGTATTTCGAGATACAAAGAATTTATGATCGTAAAAATGAATGGATTTCTATGGAAGCATCGATGGTTCTTCTATATAAAAAAAAAAAAAGAACAGAATTTTGAATATGAGCGACACGCTTGAAGATTATAACTGTAAAAAAATTCAAATTCATAGCACAAAATTATCGAGCAACGAGGTTAAATCCATTATTAAGGCAGAATTGAATTTTGGTAGGTTAAATATTCGTCAGTGGTGAAAAGTAACTATTTCAGACTCGTCTGTGATCGCGTAATTTAATTGGCGAGAATAAACGAAACATCAATTTCGAATATTTAGAATCTTAACGGTAGCCATCGCGTCAAAAGTACAAGCAACGTAACGTAAACGCAAGTGGTGTTTGTTGGGGGGGGGGGGGGGGGGGGGGACCCAAATGGGGGGGGGAGCGAGGAGACCAAATTCTTAAAAATCTGATCGAGTGATTTGCAAAGGTTTAAGACATTGGACAGGATAATAATTACTCGATTAGTATTAGTTGTTGTGTCACCTGTTATCTAAAAAAAACTGCGAATTTAAGCATGAAAAGGAACGTGCATCACAGAAGGTCTCCCAGAGGTAAGACAACTCCTACCTTGTAGGCGGCGAGCATCGGAGCCGATAAGCCACCGAATTATCTCGCCGTAGGTTGATAAAAAAAGGATATGGATTGGTGATGAGCGCGAGACACCAGTTGCGCGGTCGTGTGCTCTGGTCAAGGTAGCGGAGAGCCACGGGCACGAAGCCCGAGTATGGCAGCTCGGGACCCTCGTCCTCTTCCTCGTCCTCGTCATCGTCCTCGTCCTCGTCCTCGTCGTCGTCCTCGTCATCGTCGTCGTCATTCTCTTCCTCGTCACCGTCACCTTCCTCGTCAGCCTCCTCATCGTCCTCAAGATCGCTCAATTCGTTGACATCGCTATCGGAGCCAAGATGCTCGCAAGGCCCGTGGATACTCGTCCTGGTTGCCGAGCGATAGCGGTAGCCTTGCGGCTGATAATGCAGCGACATCCTGAGCCTCTCTTTATCTCTCTATCTCTATCTATCCCTCTCTCTCTCTCTCTCTCTCTCTCTCTCTCTCTCTCTCTCTCTCTATCTATCTATCTATCTATCTATCTATCTCTCTGTCTCTCTGTCACTCTCTATTTCTCTTCCTCTTCCTCTTTCTCTGAATCTCTCTCAATATATCTCAATGTATCTTTCTATCTACTCTCTCTCTCTCTCTCTCTCTCTCTCTCTCTGAATATATATTTATATCTTTTTCGTTTAAACCGCTACTTCGTCTGTCCTGGTCCGTCGATACCACAGCTATGTACTTCTCGTTCTCGGTAGATCTCTAAATCTCGGTCACTGACGGCTCGACATCGGTCCCCCGTTGGGTCCTCTCAGGTCCCGGGGGCCGCGGGCGCCGCGGATGAGAGCCTACCCAGCGGCATATCAGAGGCGACGGCGCCGCCGCATCCGCGCGCGCGTTCCACAGCCACGACGCGCACCTCAGAGGCGTAGTCCTCGGGCTCGCGACTGGCTCTAGCTCACTTTCTCTCGCGATAAACCTCTTCTCTCTCTCTCTCTCTCTCCTACTCGGGCGCGCTCTCGCTATTTCGCAATTCCTGGAGTCTGACGTTTGGCGACGACGAAGCCCGGCGCAGCGTCGACCGGTGACTGATGACCGCGAGAGGCGAGAGGAAACGAAAACAGAAGGCAGGGAGAAACGTCGAACTTCGGTGGTAGCCGCGAGAGCTGGAGGGAAGAGGCCAGGCACGCGCACGGGGATGGACAGGGACGCATGCGCCTCGCACACTATTCTCGATGTCAGTCGGAGGACTTCTTGTCCCTCTCTCTCTCTCTCTCTCTCTCTCTCTCTCTCTCTCTCTCCAACGCCCCCGTTCACCGAACTTTTTCTATCAATAGGTGCGGGCGGCAATTGTGGGGCCACGACGTGCGCGCGGCTTGCGAGAGGCGGACGGCAACGAGAGCGTTTTAAGAGCGTACCAAAGAAAGAGAAGGAGAGAGAGAGAGAGAGAAATATTAGAGTGCGTGCACTCCGTGACGCGCTTATTCACCTGAACCAATAGATGTTCCCGCGTTAAGCGACTTTAATCCAGTGGTAAAGATTTTTTTTTATATTACACCTAACTAACGTGCAAATACCATTTGGTCAAAATTTTCCAGCATAATTTTTTAATGGGACGCAACGACAGAACAACAGAACAAGAGTGCCTAACTTTTTTAATTTGTCACTTTTACCTCAGCACGTGGAATAGTGATCCTTTCCCAATGACTTTTACATATATTTTCCAAAACTACCAGAATTATATATATATTTAAGAAGCTCCTCTCTTAAATAATATCAGTATATGGCAGAATTTCAATTACAAATCATATAAATAATACTCCCAAATACTTGCAGAAATCTATTTTTGAAATAAAAAACAACGAATTTATTTGGATTTGTCAACTTCATAGATTAATATTTGAATTTAAATTAACTCTTCAAAGGTGTAAAAATAAGTAATGAATTTTCATTTTAATTTTAATTTGCGTCCATTTCGCGAAAGCTCCATTATAATCCCACTTTTATGTATACCATAGAAATATCATTTTTTGTAATGAGCTGTAATATTGAGAAATATTTGTTTTAAAATATGTTTCTTTACAAAGCTATAATTTGTTCAATCATCATTTGACAAATTTTAAATTAGAATAGTTTATAGTGACATATGAAAAATTTGCATACAGCACCATAATAAAATATACTTCATGACTTTCTACCTGATTTTTTTTTTGTTTTTTTTGTTAGACTTTTTCACTAAAATTGTAATTACGTGAATTGATTGAGTGATCACTGATTTAATTAAAATATAACACGATGAACTATTTGTAAAAATTGCTCTCGCTGCTTAAAAAGTATTTATAAAAGTTGATTTTTAATACAGTTAGAATAAATTTTGGCATTATGTTTAAGTGAAAAATTGTTAACATAAATTATTAATATACAAATTTTTACGAATTGGAATCATCAAATAAGTTAAATAAACTATTGAAAATCTTCGTCTGTTAATTATATATTAATTCAAATTCCTCGTTCGAATAATCTATTAATTCATTTTTTATTTGCAACTTATTTATTAAGCATGATTTATGAAATTAAATGCAATTAACAAATTTATGCACATTTATGTATTTAAACGGCTTTTACAATTACTGTTTTAGACGTTGTAACGAAGCATAGGAAATTGCCTAAAATTTAGCTTACATGTATTTCTAAATTATAAATTTTCAAAACTGTTAAATGCATCGTTAACAGTACGAAAATAAAACTGCTAAAAATAAAATGCGACAATGGATGGAAATTTAAATAGGAATATTTATCACGTAAAATTCTGAAAACGCTGAAATAATGTAAAATTATTTAAATGAGTATAAAAAATTTAATTAAATATGATGAATATGAGCTGCCAATTGATTTAATGACATAATCATATGATTCCGTTAACCTATAAGGTACACATTTATCATGATTTGCCTTATGGTTGTTCAGTGACGCATAAGAAGTAGTATATTATTAATGAAATTATTGATTAAATCATTCAATACTCATATTCAACATTTTACTTTTACTATCAATTCTTCTCCAATAATACTTATTGAACAATGTGATTTTTATAAATGACGATTTGCTTTTAATTTATCTTTAACGAATGCAAAGTTCACTTTCTTTAGATATGAGCTTTTTACAGAATTCGGTAAAGAAATCTGGCTCCGAGTAGTAAAGAAATTAGATCATTAAATTCTTTAATTTTTATTTACAATTATGGAGCGTATTTGTTTCACGAATATCGTTACGTTATAGGCTACATTGCATTATCAAACATTAAAATTGTCGCGATTAGCAGTGTAACGTGTAATTCAAATAAAAGATGTATTAGTTGATTCGTCACCTACCTCCTCATAAGCACACAAGCCTAAGATAAGTTAATTTAATTCTTTCTTCAAAATCGTCCTTAAAATATGTTTCTATTAGAAATTAAATATGTATTGTATACGGTATTAGTGATATTAGGCGCGCGCTCGCACGCATACTGCGATACTCGATTTCTTCGTATTTTATTTTTAACAAGAAAATTATTGAGGGAAATATTGACGTGCGCGGTTATACACAGACTCGCGTTACTGGAATATATAAAATCTATTTTTGACCAGCTTAGAAAGGAATTCGCGATTAGTGCAAAGTGTTGCTCGCATCGGCGCATACGTGATATCTTAGCGTTGACCTCCGTTCGCTCTACCTTGATATATTTTTCTCATCCTTCTTATATTCCAACTCTTCGCCCTCGACTCGCTCACTCACTCCAATCCTCCCTTTATTTCATCTCTTTCAAATGTATGAAGTTTAAAAGCGTAGGACATGAGCTGAGAGCCATACTTTTTTTCTCTTTATTTTTAACTTTTACTCTATTTTCTTTACCATGTTTCTCAACGTTTTACGCTACGTCTTCCCTCTTTAATGTTATCACCTTTCATTGCCTCAATTTTACCTGATTAAACATAAATAAACAAAGAAACAAAAACAAAAACAAAAACAAAAATAAAAACAAAAGAAATAGAACAAAATTTACCTTAAAATTAAAATAATACAAACATCAATACTTCAACTACTATCAACTATGCTGTTTCAATCGTTATTTGGACTCGTTCATTTAATTGTGTATTTGGCAGTAAATGTTATTATTACCTGCTTTGCAATCTAATTTTATATTCAATAAGAAATTTCGATCAAAATTGAATAAAAACCATCCAGCCACTTCAACTACAAAAAATACGTACGTATGTACAATTGACGTATAAATTAAAAAATTATATAGCAAGTATTTGTTGTATGCCAAGTTTAATTATACGTTTAATTTAATCCGCGAGGCGGCAAAGTTGTTTAAGGAATAAAAATCTCTTGTTTTAACATTGAATCTAATGTTTAATCAAAATAAAACATAATGTGCAAGCCAGCTATTGTGAAATAGGGCGATAAATTAAAAAATTCTGCTCTTCTTGTATTATTTAATTCATTCATTTTGTGATGAATAATTCTAGAAATAATTAGAAAATAGAATTCAAATAAGTAAAACACGTTAAAATAAGAAAGTAAAGAGCTAGACAAAAGAAAAAGTTGACATTGCACAGAAATGATTGATAACGAAAGAACTCGAAAACTGTCGCGTACTCTCGCAGTCAGAGAAATTTAAAAAGGCACAGAGACGTTTGAATAAACTTACTAGGGTATTCGTTAGCTATGGAAAAGTTTCAGATAAAAATGCGAAAACAAGACTGCTTTCCTTCAGCAAGGCAGCTGACTTTAGTCGACATTATTGTTGAAAAAACAATTTGTGAAACAGATCAACGAAATTCCAGCAGTACGGAGATATACGGAGATTGCCGTCAATAACGCATTATCAATTCTTGAAAGAAATGCCTGAATTATGATTGCAATGTACTTATAACACATGAAGACTGATAAAAAAAAAAAAAAAAAAAAAACAATAAAAAAATATTGCGGTAAGAACTATATTGGTACAGCTTTTAATTGGCTGTTAAATGCATAAATTCGAAAGTTGGAGAATGAGTAAAGGCAGCTGTAAGCATACTCGTACGGATTTCCCAAAAATTTTCAAAATTTTTGTTTATAAAAATACAAATTCAATCAGTTTTTTTTTATACAGTTACACTTAAAAAAAAAAAAAAATAATAAAAAATAATTCTCAAGTCATATAAAGATAGTAAATTCAATTTAAGTAACAACGTTAAAAGGAATTACGTATTCACTAAAAAGAAAGGCTTTCCAAAATATTGTATTGTATATAAAACAATTGATTATTCTATGTCGGCTATTCTCGCTTAATAAATTTAGTCCCAAAAACAGACGAAGAAAAAAGGTAAAATGCAAAGTATTAGGGATAAAGAAAAAAGGTAACAATGATACATAACATTACGTATAAATAATATTAATGTGTACATAAATCCATCCGAAGTTGAGTTAAAAATATAGATAAAGAGCAT